AATCTTGATATCTCTAACCAAATTATCAATACTTCTAGTCTTTTGCTGGAACAGCCTCAAATTTCGCTCTCTCCAAATGAAGTATATAGTGATAGTCAAAGCCATCTTCTTGAGCTATTGCTTTAAACCCCTACCCTTTAACCTGTACACATACCAGTTCACTATCTGGAGCCAATTGCAAGATCTCCATTTAAAATTCATCCAGCTCATGATACAATTCCAGATATTTGCCGAAAAAGCACACTCAAAAAACAGTTGGTCTCTTGTTTCATTTGCTGCACCAGAACAAAGAATGCATGTATTTGCATTTATAACTCCTCTCCTATGAAGTCTGTCCTGTGTGAGTAATCTATCTTGAAAAGCAAGCCAACTAACAAATGAATGTTTAGGGAAATTTAATCCCCCCCAGACTGTCTTGAACCATACCACATCAGTTGCAGCAGAATGAATTGCATAATATAATGCAGACAGTTTAATTTTTTCCTCCTTGCAACATGAACTGATCAGGCATTTCAAAATTTCCACTCCTCCATACAACACCAAAGCTTTATCCCTTATTTTTAACAATTGTTTCCACAACCATGAGTCACCAGCTCTTGCTTTGACCTGCCAAATATCCTCATGTTTTAAATAGACACCATGTATCCATTTAATCCACAGAGATTCCTTTTTGATATTAATATCCCAGATACATTTCAGAGCAGAAGCTGTATTCCAAATAGGAGCTGAAAAAAATCCCCAAACCTCCTTTCTTCCTCTCCATGCAGACTCTCTCCCATGCTACCAGAGGGATTCTGAGATTTTGACCTGTTTTCCCCCACAAGAATCTCCTACATAACCCATCCATTTCCTGGAGAACACTAGCGGGAAGAAAACAACCTGGAACTTCGGGGTGTTTAGAATGAAATTTCCTAAACGTCAGTGAAGCTCTCGTAAACTTCATATATAATAATACTCTTCTGAACTATCACAAATTGCTAGGGAAAAGGTCTAAATCACTCTTATGTATATTTATGGACCTAAACTTAAAAGCTCTCCTTCACTGAAAGTGGAGCGAAATTTTTCAAAGCATGTCACGTGCTAATAGATGACGAGCTAAGCTAACCTCAGTTAGTCGATATTTTAACAAACAAGTTCAATGATTTTGCTCCAATTTATAATGTAATTTAGAGCGTTTTGTATAAAGCGCCTCAAAGTTTATATCAGTTTTGGTACATTTGTCCTTAAACTTTTTGGATTAGATAGAAAAGAGATTTTATTCATGGACTATAGTCAAAATTACATAAACATCACTCAGCTCTAATTGATTCTTCGTGAATATACATGTTGTAAGGCCAACACCTGTCTTGTATACCCTTTCTCTATCCCCCCCCCCCCTGGCAAAACATACTTTTATTTAATAAATGTTTCTGAATACATTAAATGTTACCTAATACACTGAGGTATACAGTATACTCAACCAGTGCAACCTAACTGCGAGGGGAAACTTTTTAGCTGCAAAACCATGATTGTGTCTTTTGCAAATTTTCGCAGAAGTCTCCTTTTGAACAGTCAACTATAAAATTCAAGCAATGAACACTTGCACACATCACGTTTTGGGCTCAAGGGGTTAATTAATATTAATTAGCCTTGAAGAAGATTGACAACTATAATCTGATAGAATCAACTAATATTGGATAATAATTAGTTTTTTAGTGGTGCACGTTCATTTCACAGGCAAGGACAGTGACGAGCTAATATAAAAACAGATTAATTCCAGAAATATATATTCAAAAAACAAAGCGTACGTCAACTCTTTTAGATTTTCAAACATTATTGAGGGGGGCTGTATTTGAATAGCTAATGTCCATAAGAGTGACCCTACCTCTTATCATGTCGCCTCTTTCATTTCAACAAGAAAAAATATAGGGAAAAATGCTTCCGGCCCTTAAAACCCAAGAAAACGTGTTCCCCCAAAACTTTGTTAACGGGTGTTTTGTCCCTACAAATAAAGATTTTGTTCTCTGAGCCCCCAAAACACAAACCCAAGAGATTAAAATATGTGAAGACCATAATACCCTTCTCACTCTCTCTTTTTATCATGATGTTACTGAGATGATAGTTGAAATGATTGATGAGAATTATAACTTTATTATTTTCTTTTTTTATTATTTTTGTTGTTGATGAGTGGAACTAACTGTTTGTATTGGGAGATTGTTAAAGTTACGGGTTAATTGTTAAAGTTACGAGTTAATTGTTAATATTATGGGTTAATTGTTAAGGTTATGGATCCTCTCTCTCTCTCTCTCTCTATCATAATGTTACTGATAGTTAAAATGATTGATGGGGATTGTTATTTTATTATTTTTATTTTTTATTATTTTCGTTGTTGATGAGGGGAACTAATTGTTTTTGTTTGTATTGGGAGATTGTTAAGGTTACTGGCTAATTGTTAAGATTACGAGTTAATTGTTAAGGTTACGGGTCAGTTGTTAATGTTGTGGATCTCTTCTCTCTCTCTCTCTCTCTCTCTCTCTCTCTCTCTCTCTCTTTATCATGATGTTACTATGATGATAGTTGAAATGATTGATGGGGATTGTTATTTTATTATTTTTGTTTTTTATTATTTTCGTTGTTGATGAGGGGAACTTATTGTTTTTGTTTGTATTGGGAGATTGTTAAGGTTACGGGTTAATTGTTAAGGTTACGGGTCAGTTGTTAAGGTTACGGGTTAATTGTTAAGGTTACAGATCAGTTGTTAAGGATACAAATCAGTTGTTAAGGTTACGGGTTGGTTGTTAAGGTTATACGCGTTGGTTGTTAATGTTACTTGTTAAGGTTACGCGCTGGTTGTTAAGGTTACGGGTTGATTATTAAGGTTATACGTGTTGGTTGTTAAGGTTACGGGTAACGCTTAACATTAACAGTCAACTCGTAACCTTAACAAGCAACCCGTAACCTTAAAAACCAACGCGTATAACCTTAACAAACAACGCTTAACCTTAACAAACAACGCTTAACCTTAACAACCAACGCGTAACCTTAACAGTAACCCGTAACTTTAACAACCACCACGTATAACTTTAACAACCAAATGATTTCATGAATACTTACAATTTATTCTAAATGAAGAGTTGAAATCAACCAAATGATTTCATGAATACTTACAATTTATTCTAAATGAAGAGTTGAAATGAAAATAATTTGTTGTTTAATATTAGTTAGCCATACCAAACGAAAATAATTTGTTGTTTAATATTAGTTAGCCATACCAAACTTAACAAAAAGTTTACATAACTTGGTTCATGACATTTACTAGCTGATGAGTGACTAGTCTGCTTCTGATCAAAGACTCGTTGACAGTGGCCACGTCGACACAAGGAAGGATGTCATCGAGAGCAGTGTTAGCGGAAGTGTGTTGGACCCACTCGTTCATGGATACACAAGTGTCAGCAACCAAACTGTAACAAAAAATTATTTGAGTTTGGTATGGCTAACTAATATTAGACAACAAATTATTTTCATTTCAACTCTTCATTTAGAATAAATTGTAAGTATTCATGAAGTCATTTGGTTGTTAAGGTTATACGTGTTGGTTGTTAATGTTACGAGTTGCTGTTAAAGTTACGCGTTGGTTGTTAAGTTATGCGTTGTTTTGTTAAGGTTATACGCGTTGGTTGTTAAGGTTACGGGTTGCTTGTTAAGGTTACGTGTTGGCTGTTAATGTTAAGTGTTACTCGTAACCTTAACAACCAACACGTATAACCTTAATAACCAACCCGTAACCTTAACAACCAACGCGTAACCTTAACAAGTAACCTTAACAACCAACACGTATAACCTTAACAACCGACCCGTAATCTTAACAACTAATTTGTAATCTTAACAACCGATCCATAACCTTAACAACTGACCCGTAATCTTAACAACTGACCCGTAACCTTAACAATTAACCTGTAACCTTAACAATCTCCCAATACAAACAAAAACAATTAGTTCCCCTCGTCAACAACGAAAATAATAAAAAATAAAAATAATAAAATAACAATCCACATCAATCATTTCAACTATCAATAACATCATGATAGAGAGAGAGAGAGAGAGAGAGAGAGAGAGAGAGAGAGAGAGAGAGAAGGGATCCATAACCTTAACAATTGTCCAATAACATTAACAATTAACTCGTAACCTTAACAATTAACCCGTAACTTTAACAATCTCCTAATACAAACAGATAGTTCCACTCATCAACAACGAAAATAATAATAAAAAATAATAAAATAACAATCACCATCAATCATTTTAACTATCATCTCAGTAACATCATGATAAAGAAAGAGAGAGAGGGAGAAGGGTATTATGGTTTTCACATATTTTAATCTCTTGGGTTTTGTGTTTTGGGGGCTCAGAGAACAAAATTTTTATTTTTGGGGGCAAAGCACCCGTTGACAAAAGTCTTGAGGGGGCACGTTTTCTTGGGTTTTGGGGGCTGGAAGCATTTTCCCAAAAATATAATGCAAATTAGTTTAGCCCTCTCCAATGACCATTATTTATTTATATATTTTTGTCAAGAAAAAGAAAATCCCTAGCTAAATTAATTTGCATATCCCTCTGTCCCTAAGCCTTTTTTATTCTGAATTTTTAGGATTATCTTCTAATTCGGTTCCAATGTGAATTATCTGTCTGATTAAATTAACAATTTTATAAGAGAAATAAAGTGAGAGATCAAAACCAAAACAAAGAACATGAGAGGGAAAAAGTCAATGCTAATCATACTGTAACTTTATATTTTTCATATGCTACTAGTTATTTATTATACACTTTTACAATAAATTATTCCGTATTTTTTTATATTTTGTAGTATAGAATTAGTGTATGATTTATGATGTAGATAAACATTATCCAACACAGTTTTCTTTCCAAGAAAGTAAGGACGAGAACTGCAATGATAGCCTTGAACCTAATATGCTCCCAGTACCTCTCCATTATTGGTCTCACCAAAAATAGTGAAAATACCCCTCGACAGCAATTTAAACCCCCAAACTTCCTTTTCTCAAACAACAAGCGCAGATTATTACACAAGAAAGCCCAAAATGGGAAGAAGAAGCAAACTAAACCTCACCTCCCTCTCCTTCCTCAAACCCAGCGGAGACTATCAAGACACAAGATCTCCATCCTCCTCCTCCTCCTCTTCCTCCTCCTCATGGGCCTGGCCCATCTGCGCCCAACAACCCAGAACCCACTCCTTCCGCTCATGCGCAGCCCACACCTCCTACTCAACCGACTCCGTCGTCGACCCATCAGACGACGACACGGTCGAGTCAGACGAGGCCATAATTCGCGGCCTGGTTCGACCCGACCGACTCCTGCTCGAGCCCAGAGGCCAAACCAGCTCGATACTCGACGAGGCCTCGTCGACAAATTATGATCATAAAAGCTTGCGGAGGACCAAAAATACAGCTACTGCGATGGTGATGGAGATGGAGAGCAGAGATCCGTACTGGGATTTTCGGCGGTCGATGGAGGAGATGGTGGTTGTTAATGGGATGGTGAAGGATTGGGAGGGGTTGGAGGAGATGTTGGGTTGGTATTTGAGAGCTAATGGGAAGAGGAATCATGGGTTCGTTGTAGGAGCTTTTGTTGATTTGTTGGTTGGACTTAGCTTTTGTTGATTTTTCTGCATGAGCGTTGCCTTCTCTAAAAGTGTGGAGGTGTTTGCAGCACCAATTTTATTCATATTGGTTGTTTTTTGACATTTAAAGTATGTTGATACATATGTGTGGCCCTGTTTGGCTAGGGGTTAACTTAAGCATCCAAATGGGTTAATTTGGTTAGATGGTTAAAGAAAAATTTATAATGATTAAATTTAGTTAACCCCTCATTTAAAGGGTCAACGAATCCATCTAAAGAGGAAGATTAGGAGTTAATCTCTCTCAAAGTAAGGGAAAAAACTTTTAAAAGAGAACATACTGTGGGATATTTCTAGCAACTCGCTGCCTTAATAGATCATTGTTTATTTACCAGAGACAAAAAACTCGACCCTTCATCTTGACTATCAAATCCAAACGGAATTAAATTATTTTAGGGAAAAATGCTTCCAGCCCCCAAAACACAACAAAACGTGCTCCCCCCCCCCCCAAAGACTTTTTTAACGGGTGCTTTGCCCCTAAAATCGCCCGCGATTTTCTTCCAACCCCCAAAACGAATCCCCAGGCGTAACTCCGTTTAAACCCCGCTCGAAATGCCCAAAATACCCTTCGCAGCCTGTGTTCGTCGCCCTCTCACGTTGGAAACTCAGCGTTTCGACTGTAGGCATTAAATGGTGATTAGAATAATTTTTTTGGGGGAAAATTCTCATTTCCATCCAAAATTATCACCAGATATATTCCCCTTCCAGCTAAAATCGCTGAGTTCCTCATTCTATTACCCCTGTAGGGTCGAAAAATTAATGTTGGGATTGATTTTCTTGTTTTAAGAAATGGGTTCGATCACTTGGTACGAAACCCTTACAATCACTCACACTCTCTCTCGATTACAGAGGAAGAGAAGATTAATTCAACTTCTCTTCTGTTTAAGGTGGGTTCTAGGTGGCGAAAGGATGCTTCCCCCGATGCTTGAGTCGAGCTTGCCTCCTGTTGACGATCAGACCAAGATCACAAGCGCTTCTGACGTCGGTTAACCGGCTGGAATCGAGGTTCGAACTCCGGATAGACGTGCAGAAACTTTAAGCTCTGATGCTTCTCTAAGTCCAAGCTTGAAAATCTCCAATTAATTGATAATCAAATTAACCCTTTTCTCTGTAGCCATCGATGACTATTTATAGGATTTTAAGCACGTAACTGACGTGCTACAATAGTGGGGTCGTGGGCGTAACTGATGCACTGCAATTGTGGAGTCGTGGCGTAACTGTCTCTTTAAATTTATCCCACGTGGCTGACTGGGTCTTCGTGACCATTACAGCCTGATTTAATGCGGGTGACGAACTTCATTGTGTTAGCGAACCTCGTCTTTGATGTCGAGCATTGCTACGTGGCGAGCCTCGTGAGCTTCTTCAATAATGAGCTTCGTCTTCACTGACGAGCTTTAAATTTGATGACAAGCTTTATTTTCATTGACGAACTTCACCTCCAATGATGAACTTCGAACCTCGTATCCAATGACGAGCTTCGAACCTCGTTTCCAATGATAAGCTTCGTCTTTGATGTCAAGTCTCATTTCCAATGATGAGATTCGAACCTCGTTTCCAATGACGAGATTCACATCTTGTTTCCAACGACAAGCTTTGTTGTTTGAGACGAGGTTCATCATTGTAATGACCCTCGTCATGCTCGTTATGAGCGTCAACGTTCTAAGGTCAAATAATTAGCCAATGATCTATGAAGATCCATGAGAGTGGAGGAGAGATAGGCTCTTTGACTAGCCTCTCAATCTCCTCCTCCTTCTTTCATGTTGATCATGCCTATTTATAGGCTTAGGACCATTATGGAGTGAGTTAATGAGCTTTAACTCCCTTTAAATGAGGGAGTTAACGATCATTAACTCCCATTTAAATGGATGAGTTAGTGGTCATTAACTCTCCTTAAAGGGGTGAGTTATTGGTCATTAACCCTCATTTAATGTAGCCCTTTGAAACGATGCCTGACGAAGTTCGTTTACCAGACGAGGTTTGTTCGCCTGATGAGGTTCATTTGCCAGACGAGGTTCGTCCGTATGACGAGGTTCGTTTGCCAGAAAGATTCGTCTGTCTGACGAGGTTCGTCCGCCTAACGAGGGTCGTTCACTTTGCTATATCTTTGGTGAGCTTAACTGCGGCTTCATCTTTGGCGAACTTCATCTTCGATGACGAACTTCGTTTCTAGGCGAACTTCGTCTTTTGATGGGTAAGGTGTTGTTTGTCCTATTGAACCGAGACAAACTTCTTGAATTGAGACTGAGGTTCGTCGTTGTGACGACCCTCGTCGTGCTTGTAGTGAGGTTCAACTCTCCTTCGTTTCTTGGCACTTTTTAGTGTCTACAAAATCCCCTTCAAAGTTTTCAGACCCAAATTGGGTTGTATGGGTTTGGAATACTTTAAACTCTCTTGATTGTGGCGAGCTTGGCTTATACGACGAGCTTGGTCTCCTAGCGAGCTCGGCCTCTTGGCGAGCTTCAATGCTCCGGGGTGAGCTTCATCAAACTCTTGTGGGACTGACAATCAATACTTATGATTTTTAGTAAATTCTCAGCTATCAACGGACTTGATTTGTCTTTACCAACTGCCGTTTGAGTTGGACTAGCCATGCTTTTGCCCTTAGCATGATAAGTTGTCGAGAAGTTTCTCTTAGACTTAATGCTAAGATTTCTTCTCTATCCTTAGCCGTTCAAGGCATTAGATTAAGTGTTAGAGTTTGGTTGTGTCGTTCAATATAACAACTCAACCTGATATTTTGAAAGTGAGGCTCATCACATGGTAGGCCTGCTGGGATGATGTGGTATCGTTGATAAATAGTGACTCATCGTATGGTAGGTCACTATTTGGAAACAAGGAGGAAGATAGGGGCTCATCGCTTGGTAGGCCACTATCGATGAACAACATCATTTGCGGGAATGACGGTGTGGAAATGATCAAGTCATTCAGTGACATGAGAGTATAACGACTGTGATCGGGACAGAGGCACATCGTATGGTAGGCTAATATCATAAACAACGTCATTTGTAGGAATGACGGTGTGAAAATTATCAAGTCGTTCAGTGACATGGGAGTATAACGACTATGATTGAAATAGAGACACATCGCATGGTAGGCCAGTATTTGGAAATAATGTCATCGGTAGGAATGACGATATAGAGATAATCAAGCCGTTCAGTGACATAGGAGTATAACGACTATGATTGGAATAGTGACACATCACGTGGTAGGTCACTATATTCGATCATTCTAAGGAAATAGAATGTTCGGAAAAGACCAGACAGTAAATCATCGCATGGTAGATCACTATCTTGATCGAGTGACAAGTAGGTGTTCATCACGTGGTAGAACACTACTTGATGAAGTATTTTCAACGGGGATTAAGAATTGACTATCAGAGATAATCATTAACGTGATAGTTTTGTGGACCCACCATCCTATTAAAGAGGATTGGTGGGGGAATTTAGAGAAAGTGACTATCAGAGATAATCATTAACATGATAGTTTTATGGTCCCGCCATCCTATTGAAGAGGATTGGCGAGGGAATTTGGAGGAAGTGACTATCAGAGGTAATCATTAACATGATAGTATTATGGTCCCGTCATCCTATTAAAGAGGATTGACGAGGGAGTTTGGAGGAAGTGACTATCAGATGTAATCATTAATATGATAGTATTTTGGTAAGGAGCCAGATGCTCACGTCTGACTTCAGACTCACCTTGGAGTTGATTTATGACGAGCTTCAACTCATCATGGCTCCGCCAGAGAGAAAGCTCAAGGTAGTACATGGTTTTGCAGAGAAATCATCATGGCTCCGCCAGAGAGAAAGCTCAAGGTAGTACATGGTTTTGCAGAGAAATCATGACTACCCCCACTCCAGCGATAGCTGTAAATCAGGATTGAAGGATAAATACTCTTTTGCAGAGAAATCATGACTACCCCCACTCCAGCGATAGCTGTAAATCAGGATTGAAGGATAAATACTCTTGCATCCAATAAGGCTTGGATCTTATCTTTCAGGGTGTAACATTTAGAGGTGGGATGATGAACCATTCTGTGGTACGCACAATAGTTGGGATCATCCATTTTCGACATCTCCTCAGGTCGCGTCGATTCTGAGAGCTTGATCTTTCTCGCCTTGATCAAGGACTTGAAGATTGGGACGACTTGCTCATCTTGGAAGTCATACTTCTGCTGAAAGTGACTATCCGAAGATTTGCCGTTCTGCTTTGACGAAGATTCAGGGGTGAGGTTGTCTTGGTCATCACCTCCTTGAAAATCACATGGCTCTTCAGCATTTGGCCTTTTGAGCATGCTTTCGACCTGTTCTCCTTGGCGAACAAGCTCTTTCCAAGTTTGGGTCTTCACCGTTCTAATCTTGAATAAAATATGGATCGAGAGATTATTACGACACATCTCGATCAACGTACTTTCAGAGACTTGATCACGATAATGTAGCGACCGATTTCTAAATCTTTTGACAAAGTTACTGACAGACTCTGTCTTCTTCTGCTTTTCAGTTAGCAGGGTGGCCATAGATACTTCTATGTCATCGTTGAAGAATCTGGCCAGAAAGAGCCTTTCCATGTCCTTCTAGCAAGTGATGGATTCAGGCTCCAGTCTGCGAAACCATTCAAAAACGACCCCCTTAAGGGTACTAATGAAAAGTCGAGTCATAATGGGATCATTCCCCACTATATGTCTAGTCTGCGCTTAGAAATAATAGATGTGCTGGGTTGGAGAACCCTTGCCATCGAACTGTAGGAGGCTGAGTGGCTTGAACTTTGAAGGATAAGGGACGGAGTCCCATTCAACAGGGTATGGCCTGACGACCCCCAGTTCTCTCAAGTTTCTCTGAAGCTTTAAAGCCTCAAGCTGCTTCTGAAAATCGTCCAACTTCTAATCTCGGTCATTCTTACGCGGATTGGACTCGGCTTCGGATGATTCAGAATAAATATCAAAAATATTTTCTTCCTCATCTTCTGCATTATCACCATCTTGGTTTCGACGGATAGATTCCCGAGTACTGGGTGAAGGTCGCTGGTGCTTTGATTCTGAGGATTCAGC